TACCATAGAAATGCATGACCTTCATAAAATCTATAACATGTTTTCTGAGGCAGTTCTGGGGGTCACATATGTCTTCTATTATAAACTATAATGCTATATCGACTTATTGTTCAATATATAACAGACTGAACTATCATGTTTGGGGTCAGTATTGTACTAGTTGGAAAATGTTGGTTATTTTTCTGCACAACAATGATAATTGAACTGTAGAGTGTTAACTTTATTATAAATAAAGACTAAGTACTAAGTGAAAAAATTATGTATCTCTTGATGCTAAATAATTAATCCATTTGCAAAGCCCGATGAGTTTTTGGAATGCAGACAAATGTTTATTGTTGTTATTATAGCAGATATGGACAGGGCCTAGGCTTGCCCTGACCACGGACCAACAGCCTCTCCCCCCAGAGTATCCCCTCTTCCATCTTCCAGAGCATGTCCCTCCCAGAGTATCCGAACTACATACATACAGAAATACAAGTTACATACATATCAAAGCAGAGTGACTTTTCATAGACTTACAACTTACTTTACATTTGAGGACAGGTAGTACAACACAGGGCTTCCATAGGGTGGGGACAGTTCAAATCCCAATTGGACACTTTTAGTTTAAAACTGTCACTTGTTATTGTTGTTTTTTCTATGTTAAATTTGTGATGTTGCCTACCTAGGGACTACAGATGGAAATTGCAATAATCTGGCAAATTTACACTGCAGTGTTGTAGATGTTCTTTAATATGCACTATCCCTAATAAATAAATAAATAAATAAATAAAGCTGTGTCTGCTGAGCCTTTACACACATTAATGACTGATTTGGTGGAAAACACATTAATTTATACAAAGACAGATTGATAGAAATCTTTCCACAATATAAATTTCCATCTCACTTTGGTTTCAATATTTTTGTTTATCATCTATATTTACTTCATCACTATATCACACTTCAAAATCTGCAACAGGCCTAGTCTGGGGTCTCCAACCTTTAGCTCAGAAGGTACCAGTATCAATCCACCCCTTTTGAAGTATCTTGCAAAGGGATTTCTGAATTGTTCAATAAAAAGATATGAATGTATAGTTTTGATGCCTAAGTTTGACTAAATGGATAATGCTGCAGCAAAACTTTCCCTTGGGATCAATATACAGTATATTTCTCTCTATAGATCATCTTTTATATGCATCTAACTGTTCCCCATCTAAGGCCTGCTGTGTCTCAATCTCTTGCAATCGCTAAAATTAGTAGCTCTGTGGCATTTTTGTTTTGTAAAGGTAGCTCAGTGGAGGAAAAAGGTTGAAAACCCCTGTGTGATCATATATTGTAGCGCTGGTGGAAAAAAGCAAATAAACAACAAACTAGTGTAATCCCCTGGGGGAAAGAAGGCATCTGATTTGTCTGTTATTAATGTTTATATTTTGATTTACAGACAAAATAGTGAAATAAAAACCCCAGGATCATGTAGAATAGGTTAAGACCAAAATGGTGAATCTGACAAGAGCAGTTACAGAGAGAAGGGTGACACTTTTTCAATACAAAGTGCATCGGAGCCAGAATCGATGGAGCTGGAAACGCGCCCATGCTCACTTCCTATTTGGAACGAGACGGCTAGCGGGTTATCTATGTTCATTTAGTGTATGGTTTCACTGGATTCTTCTAGTTACCTAATCTCCAAGCCTATATTCGGCCTCCCCCTCCTTTCAGAAATACACCAAGTCTTGCTCTTCCTCCCTTGGCTCCATCACTCCTCATCCTCCTCCCTGCCCTCTGGTTATTATTAGTGTACTTGTCCTTCTCTAATTGAGTCTCAACATGTACATGTGCCCAGACTGTGAGACCCCCACCCCCACCTCTGCACGTTTTTTTTTTTTTTTTTTTTTTTTGCTGTTGACTGTCTACTCCTCATCACACTGCGTTCTCACTGAAGCTGGTCAAGCCACTCTCATCTGAAGCACACTCTCTTCTTCTACTCTTTTTAAAATGTCACAGCGCATTGTCTTTTCACCGCTAATCCAACTGTCTCTGTTTGTCAGATAAGAAACTGCTCTCCTCACCCCAGCGCTACAATGTGGTTTCTGTGATTACTTTTCCACAGTTCATACTGATAAATAATGCAAGAACAATGGTGGCTACAAAGATAGTCGCAACTACTTTTATGCCCGAATGTGGTTAGATATTGAGTCTAGCAAAAGGGTGAGATTGGGACAACAGGAAATGGCATAGGCAGTGAATATTTCTGAGTCATAGATGAGAATTTTGTCACTGCTTAAGTCTATGACAAAGGGACCAGCAATTTAAAGTTAGAGCAGTAATTTCCAGTTAAGGATAAAAGGTAATATAGGGGCATAGTGACCTTAATAAATGTAGCTTTCGTTCTTTAAATATATGATTGAGTTGAAATTCATAGCGTGCATATAGAGTGTAAGTGCAAGTCTTATGTGTGGGAGAAGAGTGGTTCACGTTCTTGATCTTGTATGTTCACCTTATTTCTGGTTAGAATATGTTTAATGATGTGATGGATTCTGTTATATGCTCCATCCACTTTAAAGAGATAATGAAAGAAGTGATTTGCCTCGTCCAAAGTGCTGTCCAAGGTTCTGCTTACTGATACTGGTCTTGAATATCAAAGTTGATACTGGAAAATTAGTCGGATTGGGTATCGGCTCTGTGATATTGTTTCTGTCAGTATCCTGGTTGGGCCTTTAATTGGATGTAAAAAGACTTTATACACACTGATTTAAGCCTAGAAAGTCTCATAATGTGTGGATTATTATTATAAGTATATATGTTTAGTTGTTATTTGAAATATAAATGACAGTTCCATAACATAATTTGATCTCTTTTGTTATAAGTTTGTTTAATAAGTGCGGTTTGCTTGATGTCGTCAGATCTCAGAAGCAAAGCATGGGCTTTTCCTGGTTAGTACTTGGATGGGAGACCACTGGGGACACCTTTGCAACAGTGGGACGCCAGTGTCAAAAACTGTTGTTGTGCCCTTAAGAAAGACACTTCACATACATTACCCAATAAGAAAGTAGAGTGTGCATAACAATACTACATAACTACAATACCTGCCACTTTACCATCACTGAGTGTAGAGTGAATGAATAATGCTCTGTGAAGCGCTTTGGGTGTCTTGAAAGGCTCTATATAAATGCAATGATTAATCAATGATTAATAAAAAAAAAAGCTAACTTCTTATCGGTACAGTATCTGTATCTGAAAAGAATTCTAGTAAAGAATTCATATATTTATACCTATTGTGCATTTTCTATTTTAGCCTAATTTAACTTATATTTTGACATTCACTAGTGGGTTTTAATGCCTTGCCCAAGAGCACACTGGTAGTGACACCTGTTGGCATTGAGATTCTCTATCACACCTGCTCACTCTTAGTTCTGTCATTATATAATTCTGCTCACTTAGCTCGCTAAATAGAGCAGAAGAGTAAGAAGTGCCCAATCCACCCTGTGCAATGTTTATGTGCTCATATGTGCAAACAATGGCCCGTCTAATGTTCCACTGCATAATGAACTCTATATCCACAACAGGCTTTGAACTCTCCCTCTTGACTGTGTTTTTTTTCACACAAGAAGTCTTTGTAATTACAGCTCGGGGGCCTGCACCTCACTGCGAAGCCAAGCAGCCGGCTCTGATCCATACTGCGCTCGTCATCTGCAAATTAATACTGCAAATAAACCACGGCAGGACACACATGCACAGTGGTAGATGTAATAGTGAGAGAATCTAGCTTAAAGTAGTGTTTATTCTCAAGCAGGAGGCAGGAGAAAGCGGGGCTGTCGTAGAGTAGCTGAAGAGAATTTTAATTAGATGTGTTTTTTATTGCAGAGGTGAAACCGCGAGGGGCTCTCTGAAAGATCAGCATTTTAGTGAAGCGATGCACTGTATGACCTTCTCCTGCGCTCCTTCTGCCTGTCTGCACTTTTACAGTTACGCGGGCTATTTAAGACGGCAGCAAATTCCACTTTAAGACCTAATCTGGGTTTAACATTCGATTTTTATTTTGGTTTTGTCACGGAACAGGAAAAGCTGGGCTATCTGGACACGGCAATCTGGAAAATGAGTTAAGACTTATGTTCTAAACAGTATTCAACCTAAGCCTCACTAAGCCTATATATACCTACAGTGCAATCCCACCCCCCGATGTTTATTGAAATGGAGGCACTTTCCTCATGCTATTTTCCCAGTATGATATCATTGTAGGCCAGAATAATGTGGATAAGCACAACTGTAATGATTTAGAAGATTTGAAACTCTTATTTGACCTTATTTGACGTAACAACCGTACTCTGTATTAATTTAAAAAAAATGTCTTTACTCAGGTATTTAAACAACATATTAGGGTTCTGTGCATGTGTTTTATGATACATCTTTAATTCACACTGTAATACTGTTCCACTCTGCAGTTTAAGGCTTTTCATTTTGTGTTTGCATTGACGGTCACTTTTATCTATATCACAGAAATACATAAAATGTTAGGGCGAATATTTGTTTACGTTTTTAAGATGTTTACTGACGTTCTACAATGTGCTATTACATTTATGCTGATAAGTCATAGTGCATGTTTTTTTTTTTCGACTGATATGGGTTTTTTCATGGCCAATGCTGAAACAGATTGTTTAGAATTCAGAGAATCCAGTGGCCAATAAGCTCTGCTGATATTTATGGGCTTATATGATGAGCCGATTTTAATTATTTTCCCCAAATTATGAATTAATTTAAATTGACTACAATTTAAATTTACTGCAAACTTCCTCCACAAACCTATGAGAGAGCTGTGTAGTCACGTTTTGTACACCTATCTCTTTGTATTTTAAGAGTTAATATAAAGTTTTTTAGGCAACTAAATATCGACCTATGCTGAAGCTTTAAGACCGATAGCTGATACATTAAAAAGTCCAAGTATATCGATCTGAGATATTGGCTTATCTCTAGTTTTTCCCCCACACTAATGAAAGTCTCTGTGTGTTTGTTTTGTGCTCCTGCAGACCGCGACTTCAGTATCCAGGTGAGCACGGAGCGTCGGTCCTTCACGGCCGGTGAGCCGCTGGAGCTGCGCTGCACCATCGAGGCGCAGAGCGTGGCCGAGCGCTTCTTCTCGGTGTCGTGGGTGTTCAGCAGCTCACCGCTGGCCGTGGTGGGCCCCAGCGCCGTGCCCGTCCTGGGACCAGACTATGTAGCCCGAGAGGCAGCTGGGCAAATGACCGTACGCAAGGAGAGCGCCAACGTGCACCTGCTCAAACTGCAGCACCTCAGACCTTCAGACTCAGGGAAGTACATCTGCAGGGTGACGGAGAGGGAGAAGACACCCACAGGAGACTTCATCGACCGCAGCAAGAGATCACGCAACGTCCAGATCACAGTGACCTCTCCGCGTGAGTAACCTGCTGACACAATAATACATAATGTTGTAATATTGTGTTTCTATTTTTTACTTTTTGTATCTGAAAAGTCCAGACTAATGATAGAGCTCCACTGATTTATCACAGAATGACATTAAGGTCCATGTCTCATAATGGATGTCCTTAAAATTTATTTATCTAATGCTTTGTAAAGTCTGTGTAGAGTTTGTGTATTTAAAGGGCCCTGAGATTTCTACAAGTACAGTCAAAGGGTCAAACTGGCTCAATGCAAGAAAAGCACACATAGTCAAGGCCTAAACATGTAGCTACATTTTATTTTTCCATTTAAAATTGCTCACAAAGCAAAAAGGTTTGAGGCCAGCTGCTTTATTTCTGTGCTATGGCCCATTGCACATGTCTCCCGCTGCCTTCGCACTTGCATATTAGCATTTGAACCCCCACCCCTCAAGCCGCCACTACTGCCTTCATAGACACAGCGACAGTTTGCAGGCAGAAAATTTGAATAAAAACTCCATCTTGTAAAAACTGGCAATTGAAAATAATATCCAACTATTTTTGAAGTTGCGGTTGCCCTGTCAGCACTTTGCATTTTATATTATTGCTTATGGGGAAAATGCTGTTTAGGCTGCAGTGAATTATTTGCTCCATCACTCAGGGGTTACTGAGACTAACTCAAATCCAAATGCACTTTACATTATGAAAACATACAATTTAAAGAATTTTGAGTAAATTTGAGAGAAATTAAAATTTAGTAGATATAGAATGACACAAGAATACTTTAAACAGGAAAGAGTAGAGAAGGATAGTGGGGGGGGTCTGTTACCTTCTTGTTTCTAGTAGGGGTGTGCAAAAATATTGAAATATCGATATATCGTATCTTTTAATGTGAGGATATAGTATCGATATCATGGGCTGCTGTATCGATATATCGCCAAGAGTATTTGTTGGTATATTTTACTAAATTATTTTGTTAAAGCGCTACAGTTTTGTGGCTTGTTTAGTGGAAGGAAACTCGTTTATGCGACACACTTGACGTTTTCACTGTTTTGTTGATTAAAATAGGCGTGTTTCATACAAACTTTGCACAAGAAGTGGTTTAACAAAGACTTTTAGTATCACAGCCACGATTTAGCTCTTACTTGTTACTGAACCGTATCAAATTTAATTGAAATATATCGTATTGAATCATATTGAATCATAAGCTCACTGTATCTGGATATGTATGGTATCGTGGCCTATGTATTGACATATGTATCGTATCGCCAACTTCTGAATGATACCCAGCCGTATTATTTAGTGGTTTTATCAGTGTGTGATTTTAGTTTTTTTTTTTTAAATCATCTCTGGTAAATGAACAAAGCTATTCAATTGTACATGTATGTCTTTTTTCCAATGTTAAATGAAATTGTTCAAAAGCACTGACTATCCACAAAAGGTCCAGTATCTATGCAGTAAAACAGGCCTTGCTTTCAGGTAGTGCTTTCTACTTAATGTCCAAGCAGTAAGTAGTCCATTGTGAACAAAGCCCCTGTTGTTAAAAGCTGGTAAGAGGACAAATTACACTGGCACTCTTATTCCTGATGTATTTTCAGTTTGAGTGGATTGCTAAGGATCTCTAATGCAGCATTATACTGTGTGCCTGTACCCATTTCCTTTGGCTTAGCTGGAGAAACTGAGAAGAGGAGGGGGGCTTCACTATAGGACTATAATGGGGAGTAGTCCAGACTCAAGCAGGCTCAGCTAACAGCCATGAAATGAAAGAGAAAAAAGATCCCTTAGTCTCTCCGGGGCCCATCTATGTGTCTCCAGAGGCACAAATGACTGTTCTGCCTGGGCCCACCCTTTGCAGTTAGGGTTAAACGCTTCTGTCTGTGGGGGCCCCTGGGTTTGCATGTGATTGATTTACAGTTACAGCTATTCTCCAGGTTACTCTTATCAGGTAATGGGCCTGCTACCAGTCTGGATCATTGGCTGCGACCCATGTGTACAATATGGAGCGGAACAGTGCACAGGGCTAGTGTCTACTGCTGCAATAAAACATAATAATAGGTGAGGTAATATCTTGCATATACCTGCACTGCAAAAATGAAATTCAAGTCAAGTTAAGATAGCTTGAATTAAGAAAGTTTTATCATTTAAATTTCATGTGGCAAGTAAAATGATCTACCAATGGAACAAGACTTTTTGTATTTAGATTATGAAAATGCAGCTTACACTTAAAGGTGCTCTATGTAATTTTTCTGCTGAGAGTCCAGTACAAGGTTGTTTCCATGGAGACAGGCTAGGAAAAAAACGTTCTCAGGAGTGCACCACAGTGTATGGCATTACACTTGCTTATTATTTAATTATAAGTGAGTTTCTTTTGGTTTTGTTTTAGTTTTGTTTTTTTACAATAAAACAATGCCTTGAAAAATATGCGTTCTACTGTAAGCGGGCCCACCTCTCCATAAATCGGGACTGTAAAGTGTCTTGTTGCTCATCTCCATAAGTTTTATATCTATACTGTGAAAAATTCCAGGCAAAGCAACAACATCTCCCTGGTGGCAGACCCTCTACCTAAAAAGTTCCGCAGTGCACCTTTAAGATAAGAAAAAACAACAAAAAAACAAGTCTTTGCATTTAAAACAAGAAACAAAATCTAATGTTGCTTGTATTAAGAAAAACACACTTTCCATTGGTGGATCGTGTTCTTGTTCAAGTTGAATCTACTCAGATAAAGTAAAATGTTCTTAATTTAATTTATTTTAACTTTTTGACAAATAACCTCTACAGTATGATGTAAAGGTTTTAGTAAAAAGTTTTCAAAGGGGAGTGACTGGTCTTTGAAAGAAATAAGAATTAATAAACCCTTCAAGTGTTTGTAAATTGAACACTTTATTCCAAAAGCTGGCACTGGATAGCACATTACCTCTAATGCATTTGCTTAGTGTATTGATGTAGCAATTAGTGCCAAAATTACCATAAAATGTAACAAACCATATAATTAATATTACTTTAAAAGAAACTTTATTCTGGAACTAATCACACCAAAAAAAATAAAAAATAAATAGCAGCCAACAAAGGATTGACAATGTCACTTTTGTTTTACTTCATCAAGAACCACAAATCCTGCATATATTAGTGAACTTCAGAAACTCGAGCTGAAAGTTAAATATTGGCTGTTCAGAATTGGCAGGTTAGTTTTAGTTTTTGATCCAGGTATAAGCCCGAACATTTGCCATTTGTTTATCATTTTGAGATGGGGCCAGAGTCTTAAGGGTCTTATATTACACAAACTAGATTCTTGCAAGCTTTAAGGCAGATTATAATATCCAAAGGTGGGGACTTGCAAATCGTGACTTGGACTCGAGTTGGACTTGAGTCACTGTTTTTAGGACTTGAGACTTGACTTGATAAAATGGACTAAGACTTGGGACTCGACTTGGACTTGAAGATCAGTGACTTGAGACTTGACTCAGACTTGAGGCCTGTGACTTGAGAAGATTTGAGAAGCACTTTTAAATCTGAATTCTTTCTATTCTGACTGTAATGATTCACTCTAAGATCTTGTCAAGATATTTAAAAAGAAAAAAATAACAAAATTAATTTCTACAACTCTTATATACTTTATAAATATTAATATATACTGTAAATATGCTATGATTTTTTTTTAAGTACAAATTATCTTAACAGTCCTAAATTGCAAAAATCTAAGCTATATTTGGTACTTTGGTTTACAGACTTGAAATGACTTGAAGCTCAAAGAAGAAGACTTGGGCTTGACTTGGACTTATGGGCCAGTGACTCGAGACTCGACTTGGACTTGCCTGTATTTGACTTGGGACTTGACTTGGACTTGAGGTTAAAGACTAGATACTTATGTGAGACTTGCAAAACAAAGACCTGGTCCCACCTCTGATAATACCTCATCAAAAACACACCGGAATAGTTTAACCCTTTTATTATGAGTCTGTCTACGTCTTCAAAGCTCAAAATGCTCTGTTCCACCTTGAGATGTCATGAAAGGGCAGTTAACAGCTACCTTTTACCTATTGTTCAGTAGACATGCAATTCCTTGGCTGAAATCATTCAAATGATTGCGGTGAGGGTGTATGGAGTTTAAAAACACAGTGGAGCACTTCATGTATTACCACATGACATCATAAGGTGGAACAGAGTATTTTCCGTTTGAGATTAACTGGATATACAGGATTTGTGTGTTAAACTTGTGTGAATGAAACGAAACACAATTCCAGATATGTGATGAGGAAATAACAATATGACATAGATTTTAAAAAAAAAAAAAGTACATTATGGGCCCTTTAAAAGTTGGCATGTTAGTTTTATTTCTTGGTCCAGGTATAAGCCCCAACATTTCCATTTGTTTATCATTGCGAGATGGGGCTAGACTCATCTTATCTTATCTTATCTTATCTTATTTGTTAACACTCATACACTTTCCCTGACCTTAAAAAACCTGCGTATCCTTATTGCACATTTATTTTTTTTAGACAAAGACCCTATCAACCCATAAAAGATGTTTATGGCGTTTACACAGCATAATAGCCTCTGCTGGCAAATATGAACTTCCATAAAACACAGGGGTCAGGTTTAGCTTATTTCTTCCCCCAAAAATTGCCCATATCAGGGACGGGACGGTGAGACGTGCTTTATCACTTTAATTGGCCGGACGGAGAGGGGTTTGGTAATAAGCGGCAACAGGGGTTAAAGTTGATGAGTCAGGTGACAGCGCTGGGAAACGCAGACGTAAACAGTCCTGACAAACTGCCGGTGATGGATGAGTTTACCTTTTGAGGAGGGATGGAGGGAGGGAGGGAGAGGGAGAGAATGGCTCCACTGAATCTCATATCGCGCACACGAAGAGGACAGGAGCCAGGGCCAGGAAGAGGCAGGAGTCAAAGGCACTGTAGACTGTAAACAGAGAAGCCGCTAGAGGGGGAGAGGCTGGAAAGTAGTTTGGCTGAAAATGTCTGCTGGACGAAAAGGGTCACGGTCGATGGCAAATAAGAAAAAATAAAATGTGCGAAATGACAAAAACAAACTTATTCACTGTTAGACAAATAATGATGCCTGACTTCACTGTACATGCTTTTAAGGTTAAAGAGACAGACCAGAATTTTGGATATAGGATCTAATTTCCTAGTTATCCAGAGTGTTGGAGATGTGTGGAGACACTAAAATATTCCATCCAGTCCTTGTATTTGCAGAGGTCATTGGGGCTAGGCTAGTGCATGTCAATGGGCATAGTTATCCTGCCACTAAAAACAGTTTTACCCACTCCGCAAAACACCCGAAGCAAAACAATTATAATGCCAGACTATCGATGTAAATGTCTGTTGATGGAATAATTTTAGAAGTAAAACCAACCTTGTATTTGAAGGATTTATGTCTGAACAGCAGCAGCAGGGAGTTGTACTTCCTGATTGATTTCACCTAGCACTATCTTACCGGCAAAGTAAAATTCCGCTGCTGCTGAGAAAATAGTCCCTAAACATGTGTCGATTCATGTGATGCAAGGATAATTTTATTTCAAACATTATTCTATCAACACAGACATTTACATCGACAGTCTTGTGTAGTAATAGATTTGCTTCGGGTGCTTTGTGGAGTGGGTAAGACTGTTTTTAGTGGAAGGATAACTATGGACAAATACAAGGACTGGATGAAATATTTTAAAAAGTGCCTCCACACATCTCCAACACTCTAACTAGAAAATGAGGTCCTATGTCCAAAATTCCAGACTGTCTTTCTGACTTTTTTTTGCGGTCTTTGTCTCGTCTTGGACTTGACTGCATCTCATTTCGTCTCAGAATTGACTGCGTTTGGACTCGGTCTTGAAGGCACTTGGACTCGATCTTGTCTTGGTCTCGAGGTCTGACACTCGACCTATAGTGGAGATAGATTTATAAAAACATATGATATATAAAAGATGGTCTTGATTTGGTCTCGATGGGCCATGGTCTTGTCTTGTCTCGTCTCGGCCTTTAAAAGTCTTGGTCTTGTCTTGGTCTTGACCCTCAGAGGTCTTGGTCTTGTCCTGGTCTCGGGACCCTGTGTTCTCAGACGGGTCTTGGTCTCGATTAGTGTGGTCTTGACTACAGCACTAGAAACAACTAACTGTTTAAGAAAGAGGTCATGTCTGGTTTTGAGCTTGGCCATGTCCAGACTGATTTCGCAACTTTATTTTTACTTTTTTATATGCAAGCTGTGCCCCTATTATTAGTTTGTAAAAGTCCGGTATAGTCAAGTTCAATGTAGCATTTCATTGCCTGACAAGGATCTATTTTATTAGTTAGTAAAAATGCAGTTACTTCAGAGAAAGATACAAGACAGATCCAACAAAACTGAGTTATCCAGTAAATCGATTCCTACAAATTCCACTTATACACGATTGTGACATTGATCCAGTATCACATAAAACTGTCCCAAGCTATGAAGAATATAAAAATACTACGGTGTTCGCCAGCTAAAAGAAGTCCTCCGAGGCTGTTCAAATGGGCAGGAAAAAGGAAAGGGGATGAAGCCTTGTGCCTTTGTTCACACGAGAAGCAGGAAGCCACTTTATTTCTTATTCGCAGAGAGCTTTAGCTTATTAGCCTGTGAGAAACGCCATCCTACAAAGTCTGGCCAAAAGGGAACTGGGCACTGAAGAAACTGAGCCACACCCGAGAGACGGACGCCCTTCAGGGTCAAACGCGTGTCTGTAACGCTTGACGGACATCGACAATATTCTTGTAGATTCTTTTGATCCGTGCTGAATTTTAATGTGGTGGATTTCATGTCATCTGCCTGTCACTTGCCCAAGGGAACGTGGTCAACTCTCTAGTCAAGGAATCTAACCCGCACACACTGACACTAACCTGACAAAGCCTGACTGTCATCTCCTTCTACGCGCCCAAGGCTAGTTAGCATAACACGTTAATGCCGCCGCGAGTACCACACACATGCACAACGTTGTCGCCGAGTGAAAGGGGATTTGTTTTATCGCCCACGGCTTTCAGCACTTCTTTGACAAGTATTCTCTGTAAAAAATGTTCAAATTTCTGTAGCTAACCTGTCACAACTTTAGATATCTTCTTCTTCTTACGTTGTATTGTGTTGTTTTTGTCTTGCAGAGAGCAACATGACGGTGAACATGAGCAGCGCCGCGTCCGATGTGGTGGAGGGAGACGTGATCCAGCTGACCTGCTCCGTCATGACCACCACGGGCCCTTTGTCGGTGGCCTGGTACTGGAAGAAAGACGAAGACGAAACCGGGGCGCCGCAGGAAGTCGCAACAGTGGATCGCGATGGCGCAGTATGGCACGGTCCCAGCTACAGAGAGAGGGCGAGTTATGGAGATATCCGAGTGGAGAAAGTACAAGGAAGTACTTTTACTTTGTCCATTTACAACTCTTTGCCCGGGGACGAGGGACAGTACAGCTGCGTGGCGACGGAGTGGCAGCAGACTGGCAGTGAGCTGGAGATAAACTGGGAGAATATTGGAGAGAAGTCAGACGCCAAGAAAATCTCCGTCAAGACAGTGGGTATGTAAACGGACAACTTTTAACAACTTTTACAGTGTGTAGCTTCACTGTGGGCCAAAGTTTAGCAGAGTTTTTGGTGCATAAATGTGGAGAGGAGGGTGCAAGGAGAGAGAAAAGTTGGGCACAAGTCTGTAAGGAGCAGGAGTTACAAGTAAGGTTTCTGGGTGAGCGCTGTTTTGCTGAAGTATTTTTAGACTGGCTATTTTAAAGGAATGCTTGACTTGGAATCTTCTTTTGACAAACAACTTTTTCATATGGTAATCAGGGGTTTAAAATATCTTCACAAAATATGCACAGTAGTGGTGGAATGTAACAAAGTACTTATGTAAAAAATAAGTATCTGTACTTTACTGAAGTGCATTTTAATGTAGTTTTACTTAATGTTTTTTACTTTTACTCCATTACATTTGAGAGCAGGTATTTATACTTTCAACTCCACTCCATTTTTGGACAAGACAGAAAAATACAAGTATTTTTCATTGTAGTCTGATACCTGCTGAAACAGAGGAGGTTTTTTTTAACACATTCAGAGGTGTAGTGGGTGTGGTACACAGGGGTACGCTTTCCGCCCACTTGTCTCGTCATGAGATATATATATATATATATATTTAAAAAAAAAACATTTAAAATAGCTACAACTTAAATGTCAAACTGGAGCTATTGGCAGTAAAATCGAACTAAAACAGGTCGAAACCAGGACTAAACCAGAACTAAAGCTCAGGGTTCTCTCTTTCTCTCTCTCTCTCAAGTCCAAGATTAGTCCTGGTTTAGTCCTGGTTTAGTCCTGGTTTAATCCTCATTTAGACCTGGTGTAGTCTTGGTGTAGTCCTGGTGTAGTCCTGATTTAAACCTGATTCAGACCTGGTGTAGTCCTGGTGTAGTCCTGGTGTAGACCCGGTGTAGACCCGGTGTAGACATAGTGTAGTCTTGGTGTAGTCCTGGTGTAGTCCTGATTTAAACCTGATTTAGTCCTTGTGTAGTCCTGATTTAAACCTGATTCAGACCTGGTGTAGTCCTGGTGTAGTCCTGGTGTAGACCTAGTGTAGTCCTGGTGTAGTTCTGGTTTAGTCCTGGTTTAGTCCTGGTTTAGTCCTGGTTTAGTCCTGGTTTAGTCCTGGTTTAGACCTAGTGTAGTCCTGGTTTAGTCCTGGTTTTAATCCTCCTGGTTCAGTCACGAATCACGTACCCCCACTTAAAAAAAAATCCCCTCTACACCACTGAACACATTCTGAGCAAACAAAAATATACAGATAAAAATGGCTAGAAAAAAACATTTGATTCAGTTGTTTCTGTTGAACAAAATGCAGCACAAATCTTTATGAAAATCACTATATTTGAAGCTTTATAAGACCTCTGCGCGAAATACTTTAAATTTTTACTCTTTAAGTACATTTTATTTTATTTTTCAGTATTTCTTTGCTCTGTTATCTGGAACAAAATTGAGTATTTCTTCCACTACTGCACAATAGTGACAGAAGACTAAAAATTTGCAATGTGACTCATCTGGAATAGGTTGACATATCTTAGGATTGCCAACATATATATTCAGAATTAAATGCCTTCTGTGAGGAAGCACCATTATGTGGAAATAAGTCTAGTATGTTTTACAGTAGATTTCTTTACACCAGTTAATCACCCTGTGCTAGAAGAATGCATTTTAACCATGCCTGCAGAATTGATTTACAATTCATTATCATGCTTGGGTCTCTATTGGACTGTAGAGTGTATTAGCTCATGACTATATCAAATAACTGTAAGTAGTACTGCAACTGTTACATAAGATCGTCTTCAGAATTTAACATGGGTGATTTTAAGCGCAATTCTAGTCATTTTTATTAATATTTGGATTGGTCAAGTGTTCAGAGTCTCAACAATAAGTATGAATCACACTGCCAGTCAAAAGTTTGGATTCAGCCTCTCATTTTTTAAAATATTTTCTACATTTTATATACAAACAGAAGCGTAGACACCAAATATACAAAGTAAGATGTATGGAATTCTGAAGCAAAGGGAAAAAAAGTAACAAAATAAATGTATTTTTCAGCACAGCGAAGCGAAGTTAATTTGATGATTTGGTTATATATTTTTTCTCTTTGCGACATAATTCCATATACAGTATCTTCCTTTATGTATTTGGTGTCTTATGTTTTATGTATGTTTGGTCTCTCAAATGTAGAAAGTAGTAAACATATATATAAAAAAGAAAAAAAAACACTGAATGAGATTGTGCATCCAAACTTTTGACTGGTAGTGTATATATGTAGCATAAAACTATTTCAAATTGATGTGATGATCCTTTTGAAGAACAGCTCAAATCTTATAGCTTATCTTCTTTTTCTATACCTTTATATTATTATTATTCTGATTTTAAATGTGATAATTCTTTGCGCAGATTCACACGCTCGCTGTACAATGCTTAGTTATAACTTGTTTTCACCTCAAAGCGCATTTCAGTGTTTATTAGCCATTCAAGTCAGCGAGGTGCAAACAGAGCAAGACAGTCTAGTTACTTACGTACACCAAATTAAATGCAAGCATATGTTTGTGATTAGCCAACGTCTGATGAGCGACTCCACATGCCCCAGTCTACATAGCATAATACTCTATATATTATTCATGATTTGCTCCAGGGGGGTATCTATTGTGGCACACTTTTCCTGCCACCTGCCACGCGTCAAGAGCACGAGTTTATAGCCCGGGGTTCAGATGACGTCACAAAAGTCTATATTATTTAAAGTTGCATTGTGTAGCTTTTCTGGTGGAAGCTCTGTCAAATGCTTTTCTTTATGGAGATATCATTGCTTTGTCTTGTGTCACAGTATTGCATTTAAATCAATTTAATCATCATGAAGACCAAACTTGGCGAAGTTACTGGTCAGGTCTGTGGAGAAGCGACCCCGCTCACAGTCAGAGTACCTGTTGTTCTAGGTATTTTTGAGCTGTAAAACCACCTGCAATTGAATAAATATAAGGCAGATTTATTTAATGTCATATTATTTAACATTTGAAGCAGAGCAACGATATTTCCATAGAAACAAGAAGGTAACAGACCCCCCAAAAGAAAAGTTACACAGTGCACCTTTAATTACAGTCACAAATATGAGACAAACCGTTTGGATCAAGATATAAGCTGAGATATCGGCTGTATTCCTCCAAATCCAGTTAGTGCACATGTAGTATTTTCCTAGAAACCTTTGGCAAGCACTTGTTTCTAGTTGTCGCAAATTTGCAGCATACCCAAATGTCTGTTTATTTATTTTTTGCTGTTGTCAAATTAATCATCTCAACTTAATTTACCATCTACTTAAAGGCAATAACACACACAAAACATATTTTTATATCCATCTATATAAATTCAGGAATTACAAGGTTAACATGTGTGTGTTTACTTTTTGGATATTTCATGTTAAAGTTCAATTTAATCAATAGGGAAAACTGACTCTTGCCCGCCATCTGGAAGTGCGATCAGTGAAGTGAAGTACTCAATTTTATTTATTTATTTACTTTATTTAATGAGACAGGGACGGCGCACAGTTTTTGCATTAACCTTAACAGGAGAGATCCATTGTACCAGGTAGTAGCACCAGTGGCTAATTTCCGTCTGTAGTCCCTGGGCAGGTTCATTGATTGATTGTATTTAACTGACCTTGGATATCAACTGGTCTTCTTGGAGACTTATGTAGCATGTTTTGGGTGAGTAATTTTGTTATTTAAGTAAGTAAAAGTACATATACTGGAGCAAAAAAAACAAAGGAAATCAACTTAAATAAATCTATGACAGTAATCTTTTAAAAATGTTCTTAAATATGCACATATTTTGAGATTTAATAAAGCTTCAAATATAGAGATTTATATAAAGATTTGTGCTGAATTTTGTTCAATGGAAACAACTGAATGGATTGTTTGTTCCTCGCTGTTTTTATTTATATCTTTTTGCCTCCTCATACGTCAAGCGTGTTGAAAATAAACCCTCAGTCTTTTCAGCAGGTCTAAAATTGTAATAAGAATACTTTTACTTTTCAAAAATGTAGTGGAGTAGAAAGTAGGGATGTAACGATATCCAAATCTCATGGTACAATATTATCACGATATGCATCTCACTGTACGATATTTATTGCAATATTTTAAAGCGACTCAAATTGTAGATAGGACACATTTTTGCTTTTAAAATACCTTGACAAGATTTTGGTGTGAATTCTTACCGACATTTGCACTGAAATGAATCATGGGATATGTAGTTCCCTATGTTTATAAGCTGTTGCACCATATTTCGGTTATTGTTACATCCCTAGTAGAAAGTACAAATATCTGCTCTCAAATGTAATGAATTTAAGTAAAAACTATCAAATATACTTAAGCATAAATTTGAGTTATCTGTACTTCTACTTTGTTACATCCACCACTGAGTATGACATCATTTTCCCAAAACCTGAAAACCACCCATTATGACAAAGTAGTCCCTCACACACACACACTCATACACACACACACACACACAGAGAGAGAGACACACACACACACACACGGATTAGGACGAATTATTAGAATGGAAATGTAGTGGCAATATGTTTCGCAGTCTGCTGTTCCTCTCCGTCAGCGCTGAGTTAAAGCCTGACATCTTTGGACTGAGGAAAGCCAGTGGAGCGGAGAGAGCTGGTAGACCACAGAGCTGCACATTTAGAGAGGAAGGAGAGAAAGAAAAGAGAGAGAGTGGGACAGGAAGAGACAGAGAAAGGGAGAGACAGCGGATGGATTAGTGAGAGGGAACATGTCAGCTTTTTTAAGTGGCCATTTGTTAAGTTTGGGCAACGGAAGAAAACATTAGTTGGGAGGAACAAGGGACACATTATGCAAATAGAAGAGAAGAGGAACGTGGAGTCTCTTTCTTACCGCTGCCTGTCCGCCATGCTTCTTGATCAAAGGAGTTTTTAAAGTGCGCTAGCTTGTGACGGTCACCGCAGATTTGTTTTGGTCTTTGGTTTTCACACACTTTAGGATCC